CATTTTAAGGCATTTCGGGGACTATTTTTCTGATCGTAAGACTATAGTCCTGCTTGTTTATGGAGCAATTTGAATTTTGAAGTATTTATAGTTTTTCTGTCCAATAGATACAACGGTCAATATTTCATAGATGATTTTTTGAAAATCTAAGGCACAGCGTTTTGATTGCTCAGTTCTTCAAACTCAGGACTTTTTAGATTGACTAGTGAAGAAGCTGTTCAATATGGTTGGCATTTGACAATGATAGATAAGCTCAATTTGGATTTCCTAGAAAAGCAGTCCAGTGCTCAAGTTTTAACACAAGCATAAGATTGATATGAATTATTAGGCATCTATGTTTTCTTCGAATTTTAGACTAATAATGAGGTTACCCAGGGGAAAATTATTTAACGTTTGTATTTAATTCAGCACATGTCGTAAATTCACAAAATCTAAAAAAAAAGAAAGGAATATTTAAGGCTATTGAAAGACAAATCATACAAAATTCTCGGGAAGGAATTAAGTTAGTCAGCTAAAAAATACAAAATATAAAATTTCATACTTTAAAAAAATCAACATATGATTTTTATTATTTACAAAGACAATATAACTTTTTAAAAAGAGTAAAGTTCTGATCAAGGAATTCATAAATAGTAGAGATATGAACAAAGTAGTCTTGTTTCACATTTTCATGCTTTCTGACTTTTAGGTAAATCTTGAACTAGGTTATGTTCTAATATTCTGTTCTACCAGGAAATAAAAGAAAACAAAAGCTTAATTAAAGTCTTAAGTTTAGGAAAAGGTTCATGCAGATGTTGGTGGAGAGACAAATGCTCAGCTTTGACCCATTAAAGAACTTCCTGCTCCACAGAAGCCCTGCTATCACAACAAACATTCTTTGCCTTTCTTTTAAATATCTACACAAAAATTGTAGAATGCACATGCTAAAAAGGTAAAACCTTTTGCCTCCTTTTGGAAAATCAGACCGCTAAAAGTGACTGTTATTTTACTTTAATTTAAAAAAAGGGCAGTTTAGCACATTGAGCTTTCTGCAACTGCTGTTTTGCAACATCATTGGTTGGAAAATACTTGTTCCTCTTTGAGTTGCATTTCCCAAACGTACTGAAAAAGTGCAAATATAAAAACTGTCAATAATAATAAAAAAATATCCAGTTATTTCCAAATACTTGAAGCTGAAATCAGGACGTTACTGCACAGCTGGGTTGAATCACTGACCTTTGGGCTGTTTTCTTTTTTTTTTTTTCTTCAGAGAAATTATCCAGTGCAGACTTGGGCTCCTGCTGCTGAACTGTGGATCTGAAACCTAAGCCAGGACTGATCTTGTACTGCTTGAAGAAATGCGCTAAATATGGAAATCTATGAGTAAGTTCAAACTTTACAACATACTAGAACAGAGGTCAAACTTATGCAGTTGCGTCAGCGACTCTGCCGTCACCTATTCAGTCTCACATGTGGTATTACAGTTGTGTTCAAAATGATTCAACGCCCAATGTTGTAAAGGGTTTTAGGGAAATCAACATATATTTGTAATAGTGTCTATAATAGAATCTTACTTGGGGACTTGTAAATTAGCTAAATGCAACTAAAAAGACAAAAATCGTTTTTCTAATACAGTATCAAATGTCCTTTTTGTGATTTCTTCACTGACACAATTATTCAACCCCTTAAAGATTACCACACTTAAGAACCGAAGTTCAATCAAGTGTTTTCCATCAGGTATTGAAAATGCCTGTAGATGTGAACAGAACCATAATGAGCAACAAAGTGTGTGAAGCTATGTTTCACATTATAACTGCCAAAGGATGTACTAGATGTGTAGATGTACTACAGGGGCAGTGGTGGCTTAGTGGTTAAGGAATCGGCCTTGGGTTGCAGGTTCGAATCCACAAGCTGCCAAGTTACCACTGAGGTGCTCTGAGCATGGCACTGTCCCCACACACTGCTCCCCGGGCACTTAAAGCTGCCCACTGTTCACTTTGGTGATGGGTTAAATGCAGAGGTCACATTTGGTTGTGTGCAGTGATGTGTGTCACAATGTCACAATGACAAGGAGTTCACTTTCCTTCCGTCCGTCCTAAGGATGGATGTGACTAAGGGGTTGAATAATTTTGTGAATGTTGCAAACACAGAAAGGACATTTGTTGGTATATCATCAGAAATATTGTTGTAATTTCAGTTGCATTGTCTAGTTTACAAGTCCTTCTTTGATCTGATTACAAAAAAGATAGAAAATAAATGTCGAAATTGCTAAAACACTTTATTACAGTGGGGGTTGAATACTTTTGAACACAACTGTACTTTTATTTAGTAGAAATCTAAGAACCACAGACACCATACATCTGAAGCCAGAACTTTTCATTTTCTCATTGATCGTTCCACTCTTTAGCACGTACTGTACATTATTTTAGATTAAAATAGCATACTGTTAAACTGTTAAGATGTCTCTTAAATGGGATTACACTTCTCTTTGGAGATTGGAGACCAAGCTAAGTGCTAAGATCAAGCTAATCTTTTAAGAAAAAAAAGATGTTTCTATACCAACAGACATGTTCTCCTCATTGGAGAACACCGTCTTTACTTCTTCACTGCGCTAAGATATTCATCCATGCAACAAACACATACAACACAGGGGCAGAACAACCAGGTCCAGAGCTACTGTGCTGTGTTCAGTCTTGATCCTCACATGTCTCTCTCTCTTTGTAGCTTAAAAAAAACAATGACTGAGTGAAACAGTGTGTTTCACAATAATAAAGCTCAGGCGGAGGAAGTCACAACGGACACAGCTCAGAAAGATCGGCCGCAGATATAAGATATCAGTCGCGCACACACAAACATCACGACTGGGACTGGGAGTCATTCACACCTATCCAATAATAATCAAATCACACTGGGATTTGAAGCTTTTTTCCAGTGCACATCACAGGCGTCTTCAGCTCTTTTATTTTTTTTTTTTTGCTTCTTTGCTTCATGTCCATGTAATATTGTTCTGTTTGGTCCTCACCAACAGGGGTCCAGGAACCCAGGATTCTGGTCCAGCCCCATGCAGTGAAATGATGGACAATATTTTGGTCACATTCAGTCTGGAATCAACTGAACATTATGTGGACTGCAAGAACTCAACGTAGTTTTCCGGAACAAGTCCTGTTCGTCCATCCAGAGTCCCTTCCAGCCAACCAGGCTCCCTGGAAGCATGGACTACAAGGAAAGAAGACAGAAGAAGTTCAACTGTTGACCATACTTACTTTTCATACTCTCTCTCTCTCTGTCTATCTATCCATCTCTCTGTCACTCTGTCTATCTATTGATAGACAGAGAGATAGATAGATGATAGACGATAGATAGATAACTAGATGATAGATAGATAGATAGATGATAGATAGACAGACGTCATTCTATCTGTCTATCACCTATCTATCTATCATGTATCTACCTGTCTGTCTATCTATCTACCTATCTGTCTATCT